TATATACATATGGTGGTAGAGTTAGATATAAAATCAGTGTCTTACTGGCACCAGTTAGAAAACAAAATCTTTTTCTTGAAAACGCCCATCCTGTATTTTTTTTCCTCTCTTAACAACTGTTTGGATTTGTATGTATTTTTCTATCTGAAATTTATGTGTAGTCTTCATTTTTATTCCAGTATTAATAATTGTTTATATTACTGTTTCTCCCCTTAGCATTCAGTGAAATTGAACTTGGTCATAGATTGCTCAAAGGAGCAGCATTACACGAGTGAAAAGTGGAATGCTCATTGCCAGAGCAGGAAATATTACACACTATCATGGCACATAAGAGAAGAGGTTTGGCTTGGAGAGCAATAATGGTTATTATCTTCCTTGAAGTAAGGATTGGGGGCCAAGAGCTATTTTCTCAGGATAAACGGTCCACTCAACTTCTCTATGAATAAGTCTGGGGAGGCTTACTTTCCATTTTCACATTTAGGAACCTCTCCACACAGGCAGATTGTTAACGAAGATTAATGGACTTTAAACATCTGAGAGAAATCATGACTGAGCTTGTTCTGTTTTGTTTTGTTTTCTGGCTTCAGCTTTTGACAAGAAAAAAATTAAATGTACTTCAGCTAAGACCCAACTATTATAGGGGAATTCTTTTTTTTTTTTTTCTCCCCAATTATAGGGCAGTTCTATGTTTCTGTTAATGTATTCAAAAAATGAGCAGCAGCTTTCCCTGGGGGAAAAAGTGCTGGTTGGCAACGTAAAGAAATAGATTTTTGTCTACTTTGGATAAAACAATTAACTTCTTATGTAAAAGCAATAGTTGAAATGTGATGTTATTTTGTTCGGAATGTTGTGAACAAATTAAAAAAAAGTGTCACAATTGTTATAAGCCTTTCTGCTAAGCCTTCTGTCTCTTCCCTTCCTCCCCATCCCTAATTTAAGTCACTTATTTCTATGAAATAGTGCCTTTCTTATTTAATCCTTTAATCATGTTCCTATAGATTTATCAGAATATACAGAAAATTTTTATTTTTATGACTTTAACTCATCCACTAATTACGTATTTAAGATATTATTGGGTAACAACAGTTGGTTATAAGACCAGAAAAGAAGCTACCACTCCCATCTCCCATTCTTAGAAAGGATGGGAATAATTCATACTGCACTGTAGTATGTTTTACTTAATATTGCAGTGTATCTTAGATACATTTTTATATTAATACATAGCTTCCTTATTCTATTTATGTACAGCTGCAGAGCATTCTTCTTTGTGTGTGTGTGTGTGTGTGTGTGTGTGTGTGTGTATCTTATTTTAAGCTAAACAAACATACCACATATGTCACTGGTTGGATACAGCAAAAGCATTACTAATAATAGCTTTAAATGTATATATTGAAAAAAGAATGGCTGAAAATTAAAGACAAAGTAATCACCTCAAGGAGTTTGGCAAAGAACAAAATAAACCTAAAGAATATAAAGAAGGAAATACTAAAAGCAAGAGCTCAGATGTGTGGAGTAGAAATATATGCCATAGACTCAACAAAAGTAAAAAGCTGTTGCTTGAAAAGACTAGTAATACTGATAAACCATGGTGAGATAAGGAAAAGCAAATAATGATATCAAGAATTAAATAGAAAACATCACTACAGATCCTGCAAACCTGAAAATATATTAAGGATCACCTCAAAAATTTGAAACTTTAGATGAAATATAAACATTTCTAGAAAAATATACTTATCAAAACAAAACTGTATAAGAAGAAATAGGGAAGCAGAAAGTCCTAGCACTGTTAGTGGATTCAGGAATTAAAAATCTTTCCATTAAAAAACCTACAGTTTACCTGTACCCCTGACACAAATAATACATTATATGTTAATTAAACAAAAACACCCACAGTTCCACACTGGTAAGTTAACACATTTAAGAATAAAATAATGACAGGGACGCCTGGGTGGCTCAGTTGGTTGGACGACTGCCTTCGGCTCAGGTCATGATCCTGGAGTCCCGGGATCTAGTCCCGCATCGGGCTCCCAGCTCCACGGGGAGTCTGCTTCTCTCTCTGACCTTCTCCTAGCTCGTGGTCTCTCTCACTGTCTCTCTCTCAAATAAATAAATAAAATCTTTAAAAACAAAAACAAAAAAAGAATAAAATAATGACAGTTTTCACAATCTCTTCTGCGTAATGAAGGGTAGACACCCTTCATGAAACTTCATAGTGTTGACTCAAGTCCAAGAAGAACAGAATGAAAAAGAAGAATTATATGCCAGTGTCATTTTAGATGTTGTAATGCTAAATAAAATAGAAACTACTGAAATCCAGAAATCAATATATTAAATAATAATGAACTACGTATAGATACGTTGTTTTAATGTGTGATCAACTGCCGCTCAGGTTAATTCCCAAAATAAAATTCATGAAATTTACCACATTAACATTTGAAAACCACATAATCTTAAAAGTTGCAGAAAAGCATTTGGTAAAAATTCAACATCCATTCATGTTAAAAACTTAACAAATAAGAGATACAGGTTACCTTAATTTTATATCTATAATTTTATTTTATATCTACAATTTTATCTTATATCTATAATTATATCTATAAAATAAACACTAACCAATATATATATTTAATGGTAAAACATCAGGATCAGAATTAAGAAAGGATGTTACCACTTGTATCTGTTTTTGCCACAATAACAACCCATAACAACCAATCACGCAAAAATTTTAGTGGCTACAAAAAAAAAAAAAAAATGACCTCCTCACACATGGGTAGGCTAACCAGGCAGCTTTGCTAATCTCAGCTGGGTTCAGTGGGCCTTAAACCCAGGTCATGTTTTTGGCTCCTGTCATCTTGATGTCATCTACTCATCTGGGACCAGTGGGCTACCTGAGGTATGCTCTTTAATGGTGCAGCAGAAACACAAGAAGAAGTCCAGTGGCTCACAGGTATTTCAAGCCTTTGCTCACATCATGTCCACTCACATTCCCTTGGTTGTATAGCAAATCACATGGTCAAGTCCAACATCCGTGGAACAGGGACATGTATTCTATTAGGAAGGGCTAAAGAGTGAACATTTGATGAATAAATTGTCACAGCACATCTATTCAAAATTGTGCTAGAGTCCTGCCCAGTGCCATAAAACAAGTGGATGGAATGAAAGAAAAGTTAGTCATAAATGATCTAAATGTGTACATAGAAAATCCAAGAGAATTGATCCAATATCAAGGGTAGAGGAGGAATTTTTGATCAGTTATCAAGGGTGATCATTTATGAAGGGTGAGGGACTCTGGCTAAACCTATCTAGCCTGATTCTTGTTAAATTGGTCTCTTGAAGACATGCCTAAGGAGTATTTAGTAGAAAAAGGCAGCTCAGAGAAGCCTGACTATAGTTTGATCAAGGGACAGTATCTTGTCACTACAGCCTACTTCCTGACTGCAAAGAAACGAACTTTTATGTTTTCTTCTATATTTGACAGAAACATGCTACTCTAAGGTTGTGGTTTGTCTTAGTTTGGATTCCTCCAGAATCAGACCTTGAATAAGGATTTGTCATTCATTTGGGCGGTGATCCCAGGAAACACTGGTAAGGGAGTGAGGGGACTGAAGTCATCCCATAAAGGGTTTTGTATTAAGCAAAATAACACTGTGTAACTGGATTTTGAGTACTTGGGTGAGGGCGAGGGGACTAAAGTATTTATGTACAAACTCCCATCAGTTACTGGGCAAGGGCGGCTCCCAGGGGGTGTGTTCTTTCCCGTTCTTCGAGCATGCCATGCGCAGGCGCACAGGGATGGCTCTGCTGGCCAGAAGACCCTAGAGAGATGAGGACAGGACAACAGGAAGTGAGGCGCGCATGCGCTAGAGTGGTGAGATCAAAGAGACAGGGGAGGGATACTGCAGACCTCTGCTACAAGACCATTTCACAGCAGGGGAAATAAGCACCAGGGAAACCTCATAAAGTCAAGGGGGGAAAACACAACAGTAGATAGAATGCGGAGCTGATGAAAACAAATAGAATGACACCTGACAACCTGTAGGCTTCCTGGCCCTTCCGCCATTCTTCAGTTTTGGCTCAAAACAAGCCTGGGTTTTGTCTTACACTTCTTTTCTAATCTCTTGTTTATTCTTTCCCTATTTCTTCTGCACTCAGTTTGCGGGCATAAGAAAAAGGTTCCTACAGGTGTTAATGATGAATTTAGCTTGGCTGGAAAGATGCCACGAAGATTTGTTTTTATCTCACTAGGAATCCCAGACGGTTCTTCTGTCTAACCCAAGGTACCTTCTGCCTCAAAAATTCTGCACTTCTGACACAGATATCATGATTGTAATAACAATATGCCCAAAAGATTATAGTGTCTTAGATTAGAGGTTGTTATAAATGCCATAAAACACAGACTCCCAAAATTAGAAATCTGTACCAATTACATTTAAAGTAAGTTTATGCTTGTTGATTCTAAAGACCTTCACTTGCTAGAAGTGCACCGCAAATTTTACATTCAGAGACAGACCCCAAATGGCAAACATTCAAAGGTACTGGGAATACTTTACTGAATATATTAACTGACAACTGGGTTAATAAAAGGAAACAGCATTTTCTTGATAACTGTTCATCATTAAGTATTTATAAACATAAAATGCAGCCGTTTTCCTTTCTTGTGAACTTAAGTTATAATGAAAACATGTTAAATTTCTTCATATTCAATCATAAGACTCCCACCCTCTCAAAACAGCCAATCAAATGCAGTCACTCATTTGCACCTTGCATGAGCCAAGGTGCATACTGGGAATTTTGCTTTCTCCTTCCTGAGAAACTGAGAATAAAAGTCACAGGAAATAAATACTCATTTTTCTTTGAAAAGTCCAAAACTCTTTATCAGAACTCCTTTATCTTTTTAGGGTGAAATAAGGGGAAAAAGGTGTTTTGTTTTCGTTTTTGATTTTAGTTATCCGGTCAGCAAAGATTCTCCCTGGTGTGTTACCGCCTTTTCCTGAAGGTGATTATGTGGCACAGTCCACGGTCTGTCCTGACTTCATCAGTTCTCGCTTCAGCTGTTCGAAGCACACAAACATGATGACGTTCCAGGATCCCAGTCGCAAGAAGGAAGGTACAAATCTAGAAGAGGGCATGTCATCATTCTCTTGAGTTTGTTGGAATTCTTAAAGCTATTATCACACAGTTTCTGCTTCTCATTCACCCTCTCCTCAAATAAACACATTTAAAATGACCTATTCCTCCCCTTTCCAGCGATGCCTAAGATAATGTTTTATGTAACCATCTAATACTGCTTCAGAACCACAAAACCCCAAATGATCACATCTATCCAAATACATAAACGGCTTTCCTTCCCACCACACCAAAGCTCGTGTCCTTTCTGAAGGGGCATTTCCCGTAACTCTCTTTTTTTGAGGAGCAAGGAAATTCTTGCTATCTTTTGCTCTGCTTTCTGAATGGGAGGTAGGAATCTGTTGAAAGAGGAAGAGGAGAAAGCCAAGAAAAATCGATGAGTAAGTGGACGATTTTCTAAAGTGAAGAAATTAGTGCTGTCCCGATCTTGGCAATTCTTGGCCTTAGACCGTCAAGGAGCTAAGTGTACTTTTCTTCTTTTTTGTGGCGGGGGAGAGGTTTGGGTGGTTTGTTTTCTGTTTGTTTGTTTTTTGTTGTTGTTGTTGTTGTTATGCTGTCAAACTGTGCAGACCAGATGATTGATTTTGAATGCCTGTTTGCAGCAATAAGACATTCAGAGAGAAAAAGATGTCATCAGTTAACTCCGTTTTGGATAGATTTTTTAAAAGAGATCTGGCCTATAAAAATCATGCCCCAAAGATTTTGGTTACTTTAAGGTCTCAATACATTTCTCCTGACTTCTGGATGTGTGTGTGTGTATTTTAATTGTGGTACATTGTTCATTAGTTTACCATTTTAACCATTTTAAGTGTATAATTCAGTAGCATTAAATGCATTCACATTGGGAGCAACCGTCACCACTACACCTCTCCAAAACCTTCTGGTCATCCCTAACTGAAACTGCACCTATTAAACAATAATTCCCAGACACCTGGGTGGCTCAGTCAGTTAAGCATCTGTCTTCAGCTCAGGTCATGATCTCAGGGTCCTGGGATCAAGCCCCGTGTCAGGCTCCCTGCTCAGTAGGGGAGCCTAATTCTCCCTCTCCCTCTGCCCCTCCCCCAACCCCACTCATGCTCCCATGCTCTCTCTAATAAATGAATAAAACCTAAAAAACAAAAAAATAATAATTCCCTACCCCCCCTCCACCTCCCCTCAGCCTCTGGTAATCACCATTCCACCTCTGTCTGTATGAATCTGACTACTCTAGATACCTCGCATAAGTGAAATGATACAATATATGTCCTGTGTCTTGCCCATTTTATTCAGCATAATGTTTTCAGGGTTCATCCTTGCTGCAGCATATATCCCCAAAAGGTTTCAAGTTTGAAAAAAACGAAAATATTGTTAAATGGTTAATGGTCAATAACTGAGATATCCATTCTGAATTAATTTTATAATATAACTCATTTGCATTCATATACCATTAGTGCTAATTATGGTGATTTGAAAAGCTTGTGTATAATGTGTACGGTGCATTTATGCTTATTTCATAAAGTTTGAGGCATTGCCTTACAATTTTAAAGGGTTATAGAAATGGCTATATTATCACCAGTTTAATCCTTACAGAGTGCATCCATACAGTAGCTCATACTGTACTTTCTCAGGTAGGTAGTAGTCAATGTAATACTACTTAACGGGAAAAGTGGTCTACTATGCAATACTGATTTCAAGGTGAGCATAATAATTATTCAAACCACATCATTTTCTGCATGACTTTTCTAGGTCAGTGGCAATGATTTTTCTCTAGTTTTACTTTAATACAATAAAAAAATCTGAGTCCATCAAATTAAAACAGTGAAAATTTCAGCAATCACATTACTGGATATTTACCCAAAGAATCCAAGAACACTAAATCAAAGGGATACATATACCCCTATGTTTATAGCAGCATTATTTACAAGAGCCAAGATATGGAAACAGCCCACATGTCCACTGATTGACGAAAATACGCATGCACACACACGAACACACACAGTAGAATGCTATTTAGCCATAAAAAAGAAATCTTGCCATTTGCAATGACGCAGGTGGAGCTTGAGAGGAAAACACTATATGAAATAAGTCAGAGAAGACAAATACCATATAATTTGACTCGTAGGTGGAATTTAAAAAACAAGCAAGGGGAAATGATGAGAGAGAGAACGAGATCAAGAAGCAGACTCTTAACTATAGAGAATAAACTGATGGCTACCAGAGCGGAGGTGGGCAGGGAGGGGGGATTAAATGGCTGATGTGGATTAAGGAGGGCACTTGTGATGAGTGTTGGGGGATGTATGGAAGTGTGGAATCGCTATATTGGACACCTGAAACTAATGCAGCTCTAACTGGAATTAATTAACTGGAACTAAAATTTTAAAAATTTTTAAGAAATTCTCTCTTTTTTAAGATTTTATTTATTTATTTGACAGAGAGAGAGATCACAAGTAGGCAGAGAGGCAGGCAGAAAGAGAGTGGGAAGCAGGCTCCCCGCCGAGCAGAGAGCCCGATGCGGGGCTCAGTCCCAGGACCCTGAGATCATGACCTGAGCCGAAGGCAGAGGCTTAACCCATTGAGCCACCCAGGCGCCTCTAAAAAATTATTTTAATAGCAAAAATCACATCTTGCTTTTGTGTAGCCCTCTATTATGCTTTCCCTTCACTTTATAGTTCTCTAGTCCTGATCAAGCAAAATCCTGTCCAATTCCCAATAGGTTGGGACCAAGAGAGAGGTCACTGAATTTAAACAAGCCTCTGATCAAGGCTGAGAACATTTTAATATCATAGTTTTCTGGCCCAGAGGAACTGGTGATAGTTATGACAAGGAAAAATAAACACTAAACATACGGCATAGACTAAGGTTGGTCGACTGTTTAGACGAGACAGCCTCCCAAAGCATACAGATAGGCTGAACACAGCATTACAGACAGAGAAGACTATATCCTACCCTTTGAAAAAAGCCAGCGGTCCTTCCTTGGTGAACATTGTCATGGCACAGTTGGGCACACTCGTGTACTGGCCTGGTGGAGAATTAACGAATCGGGTTTTTACCACATCCACTGGCGAGGATAGGACCGTTGTGCAAAATCCGGCGATGAGGGCTGACACGAAGTGGCAGGGTAAGTCATCTAAAAGAGATCAATGAAACAAATCAGCAGCAGACTTTTGGAAGAAGCTTCTAGTTTTTAGTTATCTCTCAGATCCTCGGAAACCTGGTGATATCAGAAGACCAATGTGGATGTCTCATCAATAAATAAAATATCCCAAGGAAGCTTTCACTTACCCTTACCAAAAAAGATGACAAAGAGTACGTGGCACAGGGGATTGTTAGTGTTTTAGGAAAATATCTTGTGAGTCTGCTCTGTGCCCTTAGGATATCGCATAATGCCCGAGACATAGGCATCTAATACTTTTTTTGTTGAATTAAAGTCATTGTCCAGGGAGAACTTCAATGTCTCTAGAACCTGTTAGATTATCTTAGGAACCTATCCAATGGTACTACTTTTGGATGAAAACACTGATGGGCTCCTTACCTAACCAGCTCATCTGGATAGAGTGTGGGATGTTATGCTATATAAAGAATAAGATGCTAACCAAAGTCCCATATACTAGTATTACCTGAGTATAATGCTGATGTAAGAATACTGTTACACTTTCTTTTTGTTGCAGAAAAAAATTGGTTGCAGCAAGCTTCTAAAAGTTGGTGTTTTGGGGTTTCGGTTTGTTTTTTTCTTTTGTTCTGTTTTGTTTGCTTAAAAGTTCTATCTAGTGTTCAAAATTACTTAGTTTTTTCAACTGTTACGATTAAGGGATTCAGTACAACATCCCTGGAGAACCTCCAGGATGAAACTGTAAATGTGTAGACCCACAGGTTACGTATCTAAGAGGAAGTTACCTGCCAGGAGTTTGTTTTTCACAAGGCTTTCCTTCATTAGGTCATATGTAACCAGCTCTGTACAATTGATGATGACATTTCTTGTCAGATTGGGAGTAGTTCCTAGAAAAAAGAAAATGTGTAATAGCTTCATTACACGATAAGATGCTGACAGGATATATGTGTTCTTTTGAATTTAGTTTAATTTATTTATTTCAGAGAGAGCTAGAGTGAAAGTGCGCAAGTTGGGGGAAGGGGAAGAGGGAGAGGGAGAGGGACAAGCAGACTCCTCGCTGAGGAGGGAGCCCAATGACAGGACTCTATTCCAATCATGACCTGAGCCGAAGGCAGATGCTTAACAGACTGGGCCACCAAGGCATTCCCTAAGATATATGTGTTTTAATAATGATCAGATTCACCTTGAAGTCAATTACCTTTCCAAAGGCCTATCAGGCCTTCTGTTGTCGCTATGACTCTGTAAGCATTGTAAGTCCCGGTGTAGCGAGGTTTGAGACCGTGCAGATGGCTCTGTGCTTGAAGTCTGACCTTCACGACCTCTGTGGGTTGCCCGATGAATACTGCCACCCCTCCAGTCGTCAGACCAGCTGAGATCTTGCTTCCTAAACTAGGTGTTGCTATCCGGAGAGAAAAGATACTTATCAAGCAAAAAAGAAATGGAAAAAAAAAAAAAAAAAAGACCCAGAGGGCAACTCTATGTCTTTTTTAATTTTAGTGGTTACTATTACTGTATCTCTAGATCTTTTCTATTTCCTTAATGCTTGTACATGCTGTGATTATGTACTGAGTATGGGCTAAATCACTTTAGGTCTAGAAACTTCGAAGTTGACTAGAATTAAAAAATAAATAAAGACTTTCAAGGACAAAGAAAATGCAATGCCTATTTAAACCGTGCTTAGTTCTCTTCTATATTTAGCCCTCTTTTCCAGTATTTTCCAACTGGGAGCAGGTACCAGTCACCAATGATGCTTAGCCTTCCTCTTGTCAATGGTAATGTTAATTATAGGGCTTCAGGGTCTTAGGAAAATCCCAAGTGGACAAACGGCCCCCATATGGCATGTCGGTGGTATTAGGCTACAACAGATTACAAAGGAAACAAAAAATTAAAAAAAAGAAGTGAAGAAAGTGATTTTTGACCTGAAAATTTGAAAAATTAGCTTAGGTTACTCAAAACAGATATTATTTAATAAACTATAAGTAGTCTTGGATCCATTAAAGTATGGCTCAAGAACATGTACTCATCAAGGACTTTCTCAGTCTGTCTGTTTCCTAATCTGTAAAATAGAGATAACATCTATCTCATACCAGTTATCATGTGAGTTAAAATAATATCAGTATAGCATATAACATACTGGCCTGCATATAGAAAGTACATAAGCTTTTTCATAACCATATGATTGTACTCTTTTCTCCTCACGCTTGTCCAGCAGCTGAGCATACAATAAATAACCATCTTTTAATGGGCAAGATCAGACAATTACAATCCCCTTCACTTGGGGCCACATTCATAATCTTATCTTGTGACACTCATCCTGTCCACCAGTCCCCTTCTCTTTTCCCTGTCAAACCCTTTGAAATAGAGGCTATATTTTCTGTCTTTACTTCTCAAGGCCCTTCTTATAGTTCCTCCTCAGTCCTCTATGATCCAGCTTCCATCTCTGCTACTCCCCCTCCGATGTTTTGGCAAAGGAAACCCATGGGTTCCTGTTGTTAGTCACATCCATCACGTTTCAGTCCTTTCCATGCTAGATCTCTCTGCTCTGTATGACACTACTGATGGTTCCACCTGTAACTATCTGGAGTCTAGCGCAGGCATTTCTCCTAAGCTCATGGTGTTGACTGGATGTTACTTGTTTATACTTCTTCAAGTGTCAACTTTCCCTAAGGTTTACCTTCCTCCAAGACAGCTTCCATGTTCCTGCCCTTCATGAATGGAACCTTTCGCCAGGACCTCAGAGGCCATCTCCATCGCAGACTTTCCCTCATCCTTACAGCCAGCTGCCTACCAAGTTCGGTCAGCTACACTTCCTGAATCTTTCTGATCTCTCTTCTCCTTCCCTATTGCCATTGTTGTAGCCTATCCCAGTTGTTTCTTACTTTCTAACTTACCCCCTTCTGGCCCTTTTTCTATAAATCCTCTAGATATTGCTGCCAAAGTGATCTTTCAAAAATATAAATGGTTTGTGACACTTTCCTGCTTAACATTTTTCAATGATTTCCCATCACTATAAGGACAAAAATCTAAACTTCCTAGCAAGGTCTGCAAGGTTCCTTGTGATCTGGCTCCTTCCTGCCTGGGCTTCGCCTCTCCCTCCTTGCCAACAAGTCCTCCCTCTCTGCCCTGTGTGCTCTTGCCACTCCTCCCTGAGCCTCTGTACATGACCTTCACTCTCTTGGAAGGTCTTTCCTCACCACTTTACCTTATTAGGCTTATCAGTCCTTCAAGATTCGATTCAGACGTCAGTTCTTCAGGAAAATCTGGCCCGAGCATGCCCCAAGGCTCGGTAAAATATTCCTCTTCCATGTGCCCAACATCCTGCCGTTACTTCTAAATGCTCTAAAGAGGATGTGTCATAGTACATAGCCATCTACCGACCTACTCAAAGCTCACAGATCTTGCCTAGACAGAAATCTATAATCCATGTATCGAACACGGTTTGGGGCACATGGCACCTCAATAAAGCTAACGAAATGCATGGAATTGGCATAACAGAGAATCCTGCCAAGATAGGTCCTATTAATTTAGTATCTGAAGTACTCACCAATTGGGCTGGACAATTAACTGTGACAGAAACTACCAGAATGGGCAGCTTTACGTCTTTTGTGATTCCTCTCTTGTTACATGTACAAACAGGACAATGCAGTGATCTCAAAGCATCTAGACTTTACTTTGAAACTGTATAAAATAAACTCATTCTATGTTTGTATGACTAATATTTATAACTTGTCCCATAAAGTTATGTAATCCTAAGGTGACATTTTTTTTTTTTTTTAAAGAAAAACAGACTGCCACCACCAGTGCCTCATTTGGATGTGTCTGGAGTCTTGGAAGCTTGACTACACTACATACTCCTACCAATGGACCTTGAGAGCTTGTTTGGAAGTTTCTAGCAGGGGAATGCAGCTACTCCTATACCCTTGACTCAAGAATGGTCTTCCTGTATCGGGGAAGGTCATCCTCTTTGATCAAGGGTGAAGCTTTGGGAGGGACACACACAGAGCAGTGAGGGAGGAAAGGGACACCCATCTAGCCAGCCGGATCAATGGGGTGACAGATGTCGCAACCCGATCGCCCTCGCATCCATCCTAAAGTTACTTAAAGCAGAAATGGTGAACTTTGCCCACGTAGTCACTTAACATATTCATTTTATCATCAGTCCATCTTCTCTCTGGATTGTCTGCTCCATAAGAAAGTGACTCTGATACATGCTAGCTGGGTGATCTTGATGTTACTTAACTTTTCTGATCCTCAGTTTCCCTACCTGACTGTGGGGATAACACTTTGTATCTCACAACTCTGTTGGATTAAATGATGCCCAGAATCACATGGAGGGGGCAGGACAGTGAAGTGGTTGAGAGACAGGTTAGCCGCCAGACTCCCTGGGTTTGAACTGGTGCTCTGCCCCTTTCCAACTATGTGACCTTGGGCAAGTTCTAAAACTTCTCTGTGCCTCAGTTTCCCCTCTTATTAAAGGATACAAATAATAGTATATTTCCAGCAGTGATGTATCTGAGGCACTTAGAATAAAGTCCAGCTCATAGTGTGGCCTCAAATAAATGCTGACTGAACTGACAGGAATTCTTGAAGAACAATGAGGAACCCCTTTCCCTGTCCTCTCAGCTCTCCTCATGAGGTCTGGTTTTCTGCCCTTCAAACCAAGGTTTTCAAATCTGTGCCTGCCAAAAATTTCCAGGAAGCTTGTGAAAACATCCATCCCCTGGTCCCAACCTGAGCAGTTCAGATTCAGGGAACAGGGAACAGGGCAGTCCTCAGCACTTGGATTTTCAACACGCTCCTCAGATGTTCTTGTGAGACTTCACCGTTTGGGGAACCTAAGAGTTACCCCTTACTCTTCAGCCCATCCGTCTTCTCCAGATGGATATCCAAATTATGCCCCAAACTTCCATGACTGATCAGGTGATTTTTATAAGTATAAATGGGTATCTGAAAAATTGATTTTGCACATTTCCTTTTCTTTCTACAAACAGTGAGTATCAAGCTACTATTGGATGTCTGCTTGCCAGTTTGTTATGAAGACCACTACCCCGCATGTAACATTTGCTTGAACAGAGCTGGGCCCAGGGCATGTCTCCGGCTGTCTGCCCCGCCCAGGGATGCTCATTGCTTACTTTCTTTTCCTGTGCTGAAGAACTCCTGGACCGTGTCGTAGAGGCCGATCCGAAGAGAGGCAAAGCTTATTTGTCTCTGGAGACCAGCAGGCAGCCCACTATAGAGTTTCACTGGCCCTTCTGTTTTTGCCAGAGTGGTGATTGTTCCCAGGACACCTTTATACCTGATGGCTCTGGAGGTCTGGCATTCACCTTGGATCTGGAAATGAGAAAGGTACAGGTCAGAGGGAAGTGAAAATTGAGTAAGGAGGTCCTAACTGGTGAGGAAAAAACAAAGACTGGCAACAGGCTGTCCTCTGTGGAGAAACCTGCAGCCAAGATTTTTCCCACTGTTTTTCTGCTCCCAGTTCCCTTTCCCTTCTCAGTAACATCTCCTCTAGATATCTCTATATCTCTCTAGGTGCATATATGGAGAGAGGTTAGCTACAATGCCCATTTTGAACATTCCCACCCTCCCTGTACAAATCCTCCAGAACCCCTAAGCAGCCGATGGGAAGATGCCCCCACCAAAGTAAGGAAGGCAAAGAACTTGACATGGAGACTTGGGAGAGGCTGATAGTCTTAGCTCTTAGAACACATAGTGCACCCTAACTTTGGGGGCTCTGGCAGTGGTCATGGTCAACCGACTTTCCTGGGGCTACTTGTGGTTCTTCAGTTAATCTCAGGTAAGTTCCAGTTCCCCACCCTAATGCGTCCAGTTCCGTGACAAGCCCACACTTTTAAGGCGGCCACCGGCCCCACCTGCGGAGTGGTTAAACCAAAGCCATTCCCAAAAGGGCGCACAGAATAGGTGTCCCCCCTCTGCCCTGAGACACCTCCCCAGCCTCATCTCACTCGCTACCTGGAGCCGGACTTTGGCGGTGTCCAGCGGGAAGGTGATGGCATCCGCCACACAGGCCGCCACGCCAGCGGAGAAGATCTTGACCGTCATCGTCGGGGGCACGTCCAAGGCTGTGGGGCCCACCATCTTCGCTCAAAGAGCGGAGCGACGGGCGGGCGCAAGGACTGATGGACTCGGGCCCCACAAGGTGGAATTTCCCGGACAGCAAACCGGCTTCTGACTTGACTTCGGGGGAGGGGGTGCGCGGGCAGCGGCTACACTGGAGCTGAGCCTGGCCGCGCCTCCCGCCTTCGCGCCGTAGTGCCAGGAGGACCCAGGACGCGAAGGCTGGCTGCGCCCGTGCGCCCTGCCCGCGCCGGGTGACTTATATAGCTGGCCGCTCCCGGGCTGCGGCTCGCCGGGTCTCCGCGGACCCGGGCCTGGGAGCTGGCCGGGGCGTGTCCTGGGGCGCCTGGTCCCTCCCACGCGCATCCTTGCCACGAGCCTGGGGAGACGCTCCCAGCGCGAGAGCCTTCGCGGCGCACCTGACCGTCTGCGCCCGGCGTGTCCGAGGGAGGGCGCACCGCAGCAGCCGCCCACCGCCACCCCGAGCCTGGCTGCGTGCCCTTGGCTGGGGCAGCCTGACAAGCGCGGTCTCTGGGGGATCCTGGTAAAAGGTCCTGCAGAGCTGGAACTCTCCCAAATGATAAAGGGGTGCCCCTTTTATTCCTCTGACTCCCCTGGAACCTTGCAGGCATCTTCTCAGCTTCCTTTTCTCTGCTATTAACTTTCTGTTTAACTTTCTGCTTTCCAACCACCAAATCCAGACCCGGAAAATTCCCAGGCAGAAACCAAGAACACTCAGAACTTTTAAAAGACATAAAGTGTTTCGTTTGAACACTTTTTGTAAGAGGAAGTCGAATGAGATCATTGACATACTAGAAAGCAAATAGTAAATTGCTAAAGTGCTCTAAAATGTGAGCTATAACTTGCTCCTTTTCTTTTTTTTCTTTTTTTTTTCCTTCCCTTCCTTTCCTTCCCTTCCCTTCCCTTCTCTTCTTTTCCCTATTCTTCCCTTCCCTTCCCCTCCCTTTTCTTAGGAGAGTGCGTTGGAAAAGACATTGGTAGGTTCCTTCGCAGCAGATGTAGCTCTGAGGCTTCCCTTCAGTGGGAAGTCATCTTTACTCCCACTTTTTTGCTTCCTTCTGAATAAAATGTGTATCCAGAGACATCCCCAGGTGTGGAATCTACTACTAACTTACCTATATTGATAAATTAAATATTGCAAAGTGTGTTTGTTGTGGAAGGAGGAGCTTTTCCTACTTCTGTCCTTGTGCAAAGATTTATTGTGAGCATTCATTTATTCTTTTGGTTGAAGAGCAGGGAAAAGGAGGCTCAACCCCCCTAGAGAATAATTTCCAAATACTCTGTGAGAACAGGTTGTAGGTACTGTGCAGCTGTTCAAGAAGCCATTTCTAGGGGATGCTGGAGGTATGTTGAGGAAGTCAACTGTAAAGGTAGGATGGGCTCTGGAGAAACAGAGAGGAGAAGACGACAGTGGGTTTTCTCCTCTACAAACACCTGTTGAAATAAAGAGCAATTGAGGCAAGTAAGTGGTATGTATGAAGGCAGAGATTTGGGGAAAGCAGGGCGAATATATGGGAATGTGATCTGTTGGCCTGCCTGAGACACTGGATGATGGAAAGGAGAGAGGATAAGAAGTTGGTAAAAGATGAGACCGTAGAAGTCCAATGAGGCCAGCTTGAGGGTTGACCTTGAACATCTGCTCCAAATATGAATTCATGTTATCATCACCTTATGCATGGACAGTACTTTACAGACCATAAAATGTTCTTACATAAATGTCGTATTTAATATGGTAGACAGTACATCTTTATGAATGATTCGGTATAGAGTCAAAAATTTTTCAGAGATGATTCTAAGTTTAAGAACATGGGTAGTAGCTTCAGGGATGGTGACAGCTGATTGTCATGAGAGGGTAAGAAGAGGTGACTTTAGGGGCAAGAAGTTGAGATCAGCCTTTAGAGTCTTGGAATTCTTGGAAGAGAAGGGTATTTATTATAGGTAAGTAGTTACCATAGAAACATCATATAACATGATAAAGGAGCAAGAAATCAGGGCTGGAAGGCATTTGGGAGTAAGTAAGATGGATGTGATGAAAGAGGGTACACTTTAAACAGGACCGAGAACAGCAGGACTAGGTCATGGGTCGAAATGTAGGGATAATAGGGATACCCAGAGTTCTGGTCTGGGAAGAATGGCCTTCAAAGGTAAAATTATAGTGTTTCGAGTCATGGAACCATGGTATTTGAGAAAAAAATTTAAGGAATGGTGGGGTGTTGACTAGGATGAAGTTTAGAAATGTCAAAGGAGGACAAAAATGAAGAAAAGCCTGTAGGCTTTGGCTCTAAGGCTATTGGTCATCTTGGGGAGTGCACAGGAGTGGAGTCATTAGGTTGAGTCTGATGGCTAAGCAGAGATTGCAAATGTTTGATATGGTGAGACTAGATGTAAAAGGAGTGAGGGCATTTTTCCCAGCTAATTCTAGCAAACAGCTGCTATCAACTGGTTAGTCCCCAACCCACAACCCAACCCTAACCTAAATTGTTCACGATGTTCCATCTGTAGTAGTTTTAAAGCATAATCACCAATTTCTCCCACTAAAGGGTGAGGGTCCATGACTCTTCCCCCTTGTATCTGGGCAGGCTTGTGAACGCTTGGACCAACAGAATGAGATGGAACTGATTCTCTGTGGTTCTGAGGCTGGATCATAAAAGCCCTTTCAGCTTCTTAGTCCCTTGGAACACTTGGAGCCCTGGGCCACCATGTAAGAAATACAGCTCCTTTGAGTCTCTCACACACTGGAGAGGCCCCATGGAGGCCCTTCCAGCCTTCCCCACCAAGGTGCCAGACATAAGAATGCAGCTCTCTTGGATTCTACAGATAAACCCACCCAACTGCTAGATATCACCGAGTCACCTCTGTCCATGCCAGTAGGACAGAAGAATCATCCACTTGAGCATGACTCAAATTTTTGACTCATGAAATTATATCTGAGATATAATGGAATGGTGGGTGTTTGAAGAGGGAACACAACCTTTACTTTTTTGATAAGTAAAATGGAGGGGGGCATGCACTGTCTCTTTGCTCATTCCTCCAACACTACCTACTTACCTTCCTGATGAAGGGTTGGAGGTAGTGGACTGGTATAGAATTTTTAGATTTGGACTACAAATTTTGGATTTGTACTATACACTACATTTTTGAAGGAGAAACAGGGTAAACGGAAAGTTGTTTTGCTCCATGAGGCAGATGTTTCCATGTTTCCAAGGCAGGATATGATAAACCAGACCAGGGGGTGAAATGAAAGTCATTAGAAGGGAAGAAAATATGAGGAAAAGATCCATTAGAAATAGGAAAAGTGAGAACCAGTAAGAGCAGGTGGAAAGAGGGGACCTGTGGGGGGATAAAGAAACTGACTTATTTGAGACCATAGGAAGAAGGACAGCCTGAGCCTCTGGGATATTAATAGACATGGTGAGAGAACTCCGCAGAAGACAGTGTCAGTTTAGTTCAATGATGACCGAGCACCTGAGATGTGCCGGACACGATGCCAATACTAAGGGTCAAAGAAGCAGCAGAATTCAAAGGCCTCATATGAGGAGACCCTCAAGGGAGGGTTGCAGGAGTTCAAGAGGAAAATGGTTCTGGATTCCAAGGAGCAGGCTACCTCGCCCTTTCTGAGAGGCTCGGGGAAGTAGGAGAAAGTTTGCTTCAGGTTGGAGAGAACAGTAGGGTAGAGGGTGGCGTCCCCAAAGGATCAGATTGCTCTTCTGGCCCAAAGAAGACGTGAAGGATAGGTCAGTGTGAACAAGGGTAACAGCCTTTTTATGAAGTAGCTAAGGAGTGGCAGCAGGTTCCTCATGTACTAAACACCTGTTTCCTCTTTGAAAATGTAGAGCGAACTGAACACTGAACAAAATGTCTCCATATTAAATAAAACAGGGTAACGCTGTGCATTTGAATAATGTTCTACAAGTTCCCGTAATTCTCTCATTCACCACCAGTAGGAAATACCGTGTTGTAGTTGTATAGATAACTGTGCAAATGATGGAAGGGACAATTTATAAAAGAAGAAATACAAATTATACAAATAGAGGGGATATATTTTACCTCGTTAATAAAGTAATGTACCTTCTTTACCTAATAAATACCTTGTCTCTACCAAAATTATAATTATAATAACATTTATATATACCTTTTCATATCATAAAGTTAATTTATAAATATACATAAATGACTGTTTTAATTACAAATTGTGAATGTGAAAAGTATGATTATAATAGCAGTACTGTATTAATGATGGCATTATAAATTGCGTAATTCTTTTGGAAAACAGTTTAGCAGTATCCACTGAGCAAAGATAACATCCATATCCTTTGATCTAGTAATTCTACTTCTAGATATCGGCCCTAAAATGGTTAGCCAAAATGTGAAAAAAAGTCTTATATAGGTTGATGCCCATTACAGCTTAATATTTATAATAGCAAATTACCGGGAGCATCTGTGTCAGTTGGGATCCAGATTTGTCTATCTGGGTTTGTCTGAAGAATTGTGCATAATAGTGATCCATTGGTGTCTACGTGTGTATGCATTAATATGTAAATGAGGGAGACTGTCCTTAGGAATTGGACGGGGAGAGGACCCCAGTGGGTTTTCTTGGTCCAGCCCAGCCCAAAGACAGAGACCATCAAGCTGTGTGATAAGGAAGAAAACACTCCATTGTCATTCCAAGGTGGCACAGCCCAGTAAATAAGAGAAAGAGGTCCACGCTCCAGTTCTATCCAAGATGCTCACTAGCTGAGTGAGTGGGGACAAAGTACTTCTCTGAACTCCAATTCTTCACTTTTACGATGAGTCTTCCTGCGTCATTAGGTTATTCTTATTAATGGATCACTCTGTGTTTGGCACCAGGTGTACATAATTGTCTTAAGCCTCTGAAAGATGTACCCACTTCATTCACTTACCCAATTTGTACGGAGTCTCTAAGTGCTAGACGCTGTTCTAAGCACTTTACAAGATTTAACCCACATAAGTCCTTGCATGATAGCCCTTTGGAAAAAGTA